GAGAGGAAGGGAGACAGGAAAACAGCCCAACTATTTCATTGCTGCTAATAGGAAGATGGAAATCTTCAAGATTTCCTTGGGAATGGYCTGATTTGCTGCAGTGGAAACATTCAATTTAAGGGTAATGGAACTCGAGAATAGGCTGCAGACAGATTTGAAATCTCATCATTGGTTTTTCTCAGAATCACTAGACAATGTTCTTAGGCATGGCCTAACCCCAGGTGCCAGGCAAGTTCTGGTACAAATACAGGGATTACAGAAAAAAAAGGGTTTCAGAGAACCCACCTTTTGATGAATCTGTTTGGTGTTTGTGAGGAAAGATTTCTCCTGAAATATGTGAACTCTGGAGCAGACCTCAAATCCCAGAGCTCCCTTATATTTTAAGATTAAGCCCGTACTTATAAGCTTAGTTTAATAGTGCTATATTAACTACTTTAAGAGGTAATCATATGGTGAGGCATCCRTGTGTGGAAGAAAACCATAATTAATGAGATCCCAGGGATCCAATAAGAAAATATGCACTACTGGGCTTTTCTAAGGTTTAAATGTTTTGGGTGCATGTTCAGTCCCTACCAATCCCACCACAACACAACTGTGAGTGCTCCTGTTACTGTGCTCTAACAGACTGGCCTATTTTTGTTACAGTTTGTGATAGTTTGCAGTGCACAGTCTAGTTAAAAAATATAGATATATCAGGAAGCAGAACTGTGTAACGAGGCTCTCCCCTGGTCTTCTGTTGTCTGAGAGCCTTTCTGTCTGACCCAAAATGTCACGTTTCAAAGCCCTGCTTCATTAGGATGGCGCCTGCAAGCTGCTGGTTAGGGTCTGTTAGCAGCCCCGGTATAAATCCCCACTTCCAGGAGTTTATAATTCAGCAGTAAAACATTGCTCTAGGCTGAAACTTGGCATATAAAGTCTCAGTGCGGGAATAATTGTGATTTCTCCCTCCTTTATTTTTGCATTTGCTTATACACRCACGATTCATTCAGGAGGTTTTTACTGTCCCCTTCCTGCATTTAAAAAGATTAAATGGCTGGGTTATTAATAGTTCAATTCTGACTACTGTGCTTGGCCAGTAAATCATCTGCAGGGCTGTTAACCCAGCTCAGTTTGATGGTRCAGGTCATCATTTCCCAAACCTGCTCCAAGCTCAGTGGCAACAGCCTGGCATGGACCAGCAATGGTTGTTGGCTGTTAATTAACGTGGGCTCCAGTGTTAATTAAAGCCGTGTCTGGATCCTGAATGCCAGTGGGATGTTCTCCTGATCATGCTGCAGCCAGGACTAAAATCATGTGTTCCCTGCTCAGATATAGAAGAACATGGAAAGGCCTGAAGTGCTGCCTGACCTCAGCATGATTTGCTCTTATCTCGTGATCCTGTACAGAGATATCACTGTGAGATCTTCAGATTTGSTTGAAATCATCCTCCCAGCTCAACTGTTTCCTCATCAAAGCTATGTTTCAATGAGTCAGTTATTTCCTCATGGTTTTCCTGGTTTATGGAAAATTTTGGTATGAAAAAAGTTATTTGAATTTATTATTCCTAAAAATTATAGAAAAATTACKTGTTTTGGCCTTATGGAAAATGTTATAGTAACTTCTATTTTTCTTCCATGTAGGATATTTTTATAGGATTTATAAAATGTTTGTACTGTAAAGTCCTCCCAAATGAATGAGTGAGAACAGYAATTTCTAAATATATAATGTAGAATGCAAAGGTTAAAAATGAGGTTTTTACAAGAATGAAATATTTCAGTCAAAGTGAAATTTTTCTTTTCCTTCCAGAACTGATTTTAGGTTTTGATCACAGTTTAAATCATGGTATTTCCTACATTTCCAAGAAAAGACTTGCTATGCACTGTATTTCTTTTTCCTCCTTGTTTCTATGCACAGGTGCTTGCAAATTCAGGGTATATTTCCATTAGCATATTAAACAGCAGTAATTCAGCTGTGAAATCTTCKCATTACTATGGAATTAAGTCACTCCCTGGACTTTCTTATTTCTTTTCCACTCTTCCTCCCACTTATATTTAATTTATAGAGGCAGCCTAAGGAAGATCAGTTCTCTTTGGTATTAATATGATAGATAATACATGAGTATTGCAGAAGATTTGACCAGGTACAGAGCAGTGCAGTGTGAGTGACTGAAATGAGACAGCAGGTGCCTCCCTGTGCAGATTTCAAGGGCCCTGCATTGGTTTATAGCAGATCCAAATCTGGCTCTATTATTTTATCTTCTGCTGGGTTATAATCCCACCTGCTTCCTGTAAACCAAGAGAGTTTTAATTTCCTGTAGGACTTTTTTTTTTTTTCTCTGAGAAAACTGACTTTACTGGCTTTACACAACAAGGCTCAATATGAGGTTTTTCATGCATTTTCTCTTTAATACGTGAGGAATAAATTTAATTCTCTATTTATTTAGCATGGCCTACATACTAAAGACACTCAACAGCTGGTTCTGGTGGGAGAATATCTGGATGCCAATCAATTGCACGTGGGCAGATTTTGTAGACCGTGATGGACTTGTGTTTCCCAAACCACATCAGTTATATGCCACAATCCCATATGCTTTTGTAYTGCTGATCATCCGATTCTTCAGTGAAAGGTAAGAAACAGGAATGCAATTTGATGCTAATGTTRGTCCTCATTAATGCTGAAAATAAGATATCTTTAGATCAATGTTATGTTTTATAAAGGAGGATTAGTTAATGGTTTATAGGAAGATCTAGTRCAGATAACATGGCAGGTGAGAAACTGGGAAATGTTTTCACTATTAGGTACATATGGCTGTGGTCCAATCCAGAAGGAAAATATTTCTATCTAGCTTTTCTAGAACACCATTTGGATACTTCTAATTATCTCCTTTCACTAGAGATACAATTAATTCTAAATCATATGGGTTTCCTTTTCTCATTCAGTGGAAGGATGGAGATATTTGTCCTCCCACCCAAACCTCTCATTTGATCTTGCAGCATTCGTGTGAGGCTGATAGATCCCAGGTGTCTCTCTGTGGCCAAACTAAGCAAACTGGAGGGATCTCAAAGTTTTGTGTGAAGATTTTATGCAGATCTAGTTAARCTGATTCCCTTTTTCCCTCACTTCGGCCCTGAAAACTGGATTGCTTCCACAGCTGGAATCTTRGAGGGCAGGCAGAGGCTGGCTCCACAGAAGAAAGTTACAACTATATTAAGATTTGCAGTGTTTTGACTTATTTACTTGTACCTCTTTTGCTTTACTTTTCTTTTTCCTCTTAAAAAAAGTGATTAGTAGGTTTTTATAATTATTTCAGGACAGAATGAGGAAATTTGGAATGTCGTAAGTTGGACAGACTTAAACCAGAAGGCAGATAAGATCATTCATGCTGGAAATCAAAAGTAATTTGGATCATATGTTCATAASCATTCCCAGCATCTCCCTAGTGAACATTTGCCCAAATGTATCTCACTGCAGAGCTCTTGGACAGGGCTGCTGTGGGTAATGAGCTCCCACATCTGGCTGCAGCAAACCTGAGGAGAGCTATGAGCAACGAGGAATCAATGGCTGATATCAGCACAGGGACAGGGCTTTCCACAGCACCCTGCCCAAGAAAAAGGGAGAAACCCTTGGCACGCTCTGCAGTGATTTGGGTTGGAAAAGGGAAAGAGAATCCATCAGTCTCGGGGAATGGCTGCGTGCCACGGGCTGGATCCAGCGTGGGTGGTGGTGGCCCAGTGAAGAACGTGCCAAGTGACTCTGCCACTGGCAGGAAGGAGCCCAGTAGTAATCCCTGAGCTCACATGGAGAGCATCCGTTCTTGCTTAACTCCAAMATGCCTCTGATGGACTCCAAAGTCAGAATGTTTCCTCCAGTTTTATAGCATTTCATGGCCACAAACTGGAGTCATTGGGTCTTTGTGTAACTGCTGCTAAGCTCTGGTTCCCTCTTGGGATTAGCTAGAGGGATATCCCTTTTTCTCAGCGCACTGGCACGTTCTATGGCAGATTAAATTGCATCAGATTTGTTTTCTTCATATCCTGGCATGAGAACAGCCAAGGTCTTGTAACTGTGTTGTATTTCTAAAGCTTTTMATGGTATGTCTTTTCAGATATATTGCTATACCTCTAGCAAAAGCCTTGGGTATAAAGAATGTAAGACGTGTGAAGCCACAGCCTAATCCTGTGTTAGAGAGTTATTTCCGGGAGTGCTCAAAACATCCATCCCAAGTAAGGACTCTCATTCTTTTAAATTCATTTTGCTTTTGGAAAATCCCACTCTTACTGTTTCAATCAGCTCTCGGCAATGACATCATGGGGTGAGTGCCAGCTGATTGACAGATGACTTAATTTAAAAAAGGATTAAAAAATTAAATTTTGGATTTTTGTTGCTGTTCTGCTGACAAGGGTATATGGCATCTGAAACAGAAAATACGTTTAAGATGTTTAATTTTCTGGCATGCGGTTCTAGGTTAGACTGTTAATAACATTTCCAGTGAAGATCAGTGTTCCATCTTTAACTCATTCTGCCTGGAGAAAACATCAGCTGRTGTCTGTTGTTGGAAAGCAGTATMATATTTATTGCAGGCAATAATATCYGAATGCTGGCATGGAAGCCTTTTGATCCGTTTTGTTGCTGCATGCTTAATCCTGGCTTATGTGAGAAAGAAAAGCAAGCCTTCTATTACCTTGTGTTTGTTTTTAAGATTGAACAAGGACAAAAGACTAGCCAATGCTTGTCATCTCCAGAAATGAGGCAGTTTGATTCTTGATGGGAAGCAGGTATTTTGCTGTGAGTGCAGCCTCAGGAAGTTCACTTACTCGACTACAGTACCCAAACAATTAGAGTTTTCCTAGGTTGGTTTTGAAAACAAATAGGTGCTTTCTAGTAATGAGGGATTTTGATAATTATTGATAATGGAACTTGACATTCTATCCCTAACCCTGCTGTTCTGTCTTTTGCCTGATAACATCAGGAGAAGAGGTATTGGTGTTCACACACAAACTCTTCTTTCCCTGGGCAACTATCCTGGTCTCAGTTCCATTCCTTCCTTCTGCAAGAGTRCAGTTTGACATTTGGTTTCTGAAAGGAAGAACAACATTTTTAGGCTCATCAGAGCATGGGAAGGATTCAGGCTGCCTCCTTTAKCTGTCCAGCTTGGGGACCAGTATGCCTGGCTGGCAGCTGAGGGCATCTGGGCTCTGWTGTGTGACTTATTTAAATATAAACAAATTCTTATTTATTATTAGGTAAGATAGTAGGTGCAATGTCCACAAGCGTTTATACATGGCACTTCCCTCTCCAACCCAACCTCTCATCTAACAGTAAAAGTTGCTTCTCTGAAAGTCTCAGAAGCCACCAGAAAGACAATAGAACAGTTTSTGGATCTGTTCACTTTGTGCCTTCTTTATTTATATAAATAAAAATCCGAGTTTCTGTGAGCGTTACTCAAAACCACTCCCCCCCATGCATATTTAATATTGGTAATATTTTAAAATTAACACCTTGCAACAGTGGGAAGCTGTCCTTTGAACTACAAAAGAAATGAAAATGATGTAGGATTGCATCTACTGCTAACAGGCTGTTGCATTTCTTGCAGTCAGAGATCCAAGGCCTTGCCAAGAAGTGCAACTGCACCGTTGTTATAGTGGAGAARTGGTTCAGGAGACGGCGAAACCTTGAGATCCCAACAGTGCTCCGGAAATTCCAGGAAGCTTTGTAAGAAAAGACAATTCTTTTTGTTATCCGTGCTTTACTGTTTTAGAAAAAAAAGATTGAAGTCCTCCCTTTGCAGAAGGCTGGGTCTGCCTGATGAGGGGTTTGGTTTCTGAATACACAATCAAGTTGAAAGGATTTTGTAGCATTTTTCCAAATGGTGGTTAAAAGGTTGGGTTAAAGGTTTCTTGTGGAAAAATAAACACCTTAAAAATGTTTTACAGTTTTCTTCTTTATGGAATAATGGATTTGTAGGCTTCCAGTACAAAGTGGAAGAGGAAAGTGCAGAGAATAGGAAAATATTCTCCTAATAATGTCTGCTAGTAATCATAGGGGAACAAAAATGCTKACCCTGGTTTAATGTTTGTACTCATGCTGTCATTTTGGGATGATGTTGTGTGTACAGTCAGTTCAAGAGMAGTAATTGTGCCATTCAGACTAAAGGACAGGTGCCACAGCTTGATCATGGGACACTGTGTGAAACAGGAACCCAAACTCACCGCTGAGTCTGGGCCAGTGAGCAGCTTTGATTGATAGTAATGAATATGKAAAAAGTTTCAAAACCTCCTGCATATGATTTTTCACTTATGTGTGAGAACTTCCTCCTACCTAAACACTTTAAGTGTGATCTAAAATCTCATACAAATTGCAAATCTCCAAATGGGCATGGCTTTACCTGCACAGCTCATGCCTTTTGGGTRCTGACAGTAACTGTACCAGTGTAAAGCAATTTCAAATGCTCTGTGTATTTGGCTTTTCATTAGCATAATTGCATTGGGAAAAATTCACCTGATTATAATATTGAACCTCTGTTACTATAGATTAGCTTAAGGAATGAGGGTTAAAAGTACAGCACAGAGCTCAAAGCTGAGTACTTTATCAAGATTATTTCAGTGTGAATCAATGTGATGATGATTTAGKGGTGTCCTCTGTCAGACATAAATCCAGATGATAGACAGAGATGTGTCTCTTTGAAGTCTGAGTTGAGTAAACTCTCCTGACATGGTTTGTCTGCTGTTGTTCGGGGATCAGTTAATTTTGTTTCACAAGTGACAATAAGATTTCCTGCTATTGCTAAAAGACCTGCCTGCCATGGATGCATGTCTCTAGTAACACACAACTAAAGAMTGAAATTCCAACTTGCTTGGCAGCTTGAGTGAGAATGAAGCAAACAAGTTTCTCTTATGCAATTTTGTAAACCTTGCTCCGCTCTTTGTCAGTGAATTTAATTGAATATAATTCTGTAGGCAAAAAATGAGGAACTGAGTTATTCCACACTAATAGTCAGTGTTATGAGCATTATGAAATCTTTTGAAAGCCTGCAATCTCCAGGATCCTTTTTCTGAATCACAAGGAAAATCTAATGAGGCAGATCTAAACCGTRCTTAAGCTATTAGTGCTCCCAGTTAAGCAACTCTGGGGTTTGGAAAGCCCTTTGCATGAAACCTTCACTGCCTTGTAAGACTTACCAGCCTTTAGCTCCCCCTACTAAGTTCTTTTTGGTTATATTCAATTCAAGAGAAAAGATTCCCAATGTTAAACYAGACAATCCCCTTGCACAGTTGTTKTTCAGTGTTCTCTCTGGTGACCGGGATCAGAGTTTAAAAGGAACTTGGGTAAAATTTGGTGACTTTGGATGAGTTTTACTTCTGCTTTTATTCACCAAATTCATAAAGAAGCTTGGCTAAATGCAAAATGAGGTAGTGCTCTGGCAGTCTTGCACATATAATGAGTTCATCTGAAGTGCTGTTTCTTGCCAAATGTRTTCAATTTATGTTTGTAGGGCTGGGGACTAATGGCACAGTCCTGTAGGTGCTCTGTGCTTTGGATCTGATTCAGAAAACCTTTTGCACTTTACAATTAACATGGAATCAGTCCTGCTATGTCCACTGGACCACTTACACCTTATTTRGAATGGGAGGCATGAGGGCAGAACCAGCCCCTGTATAAAGTCTGTCCCATGCCACAGTGTTGTGTTTTCCAGCATCTCTTGGTTAACTTGGAGTCRGGTATTACCTGTGGGATCTGCTCTCCCCTTCCATTTGCTCTCCTAATTTCCATCATATACCTCTGAATTTTTCTTGTCCATGCAGTGGGTGGTGTTCTATAGTGTTATTTTCAAATCATCTGAGGAAAGATGGTTTAAAGTTGAGCAGAAAAACAGTTGTTTATCACATGCGTATCAAGTGGCAATTTTATAATTGTTTTGCTGACCTCCTTCTCAGGTGTGAGATACATTATGTTGTCTTGCCTCCAGCATTCCATATCCTCATTTTTGTTTGTTGTTTTTCTTATAAAACTCTGTCTCAGTCTTTGAACATCTCATTCTTTCTCCTGGWAGATCAACTCCAGGGGATGTGGGGCTCAGAAAAGAGGGGCTGCTTTTACCACRCAGGTTCTCCTCTTCTTCTTTCATTTGGCATTTCATTAGCGCTTGCCAAAGAGCACAATGTCATTTTACACATCTCTCAATCTGTTAGKACACTATTCCTGGGGTGCTCTTCCCTTTCCAGTGGATTTAGCTTTCCTGGGAGCTGTTTGCTGCTCTCCTCTTGTTCTGGAACAATTTCTCCCCAGGTGTGGGGCCACGTGCTGTCCCTGTGGTCACAATCTTTCTTTGCATGTCAAGTCCTGCWGTGTTGTCCCAATCTTGCAGAACTGCTTAGGGGAAAGGTCAGGCTTGCTCCTACCAAGGGGGAAGACTGGGAAGGAAGGAGTTTTCCATCACCTGCAGAGGTGGGAGTGGGAATGCTTGGGCTGAGGCTCCAGCCACACCCAGTTSCAGGGACAATACCTCCCACACAGGCTCCAGAGTCATTACACTGATTGCTGCCTCTAAATCACGACATCCTGCTGTGACATCTGAAAGCAGCAGCACAGTTCACTCAGATGCACAAGGGCTTTTTCCCTTTGCTGACTTAGCAGGTCAASGGTGCAAACCCCGAAGTTTTATTTGCCTTGCTGGATATCCATTTAATGCACAAAAATCATAGAGCAGGCTAAAATCTGGCACACCTAGCCAGAGATGAGGTTTATAGGTAATTAAGGCCTTGTAGTAAGATGTAAACTAACCCAGTAGTTGTTAACAATTCATAAGGCTCCCCTGTTGGTGTTGAGAGAGATGAAGAGAATGAACCCAGGAAAAGGTTTGTTATCAAACATTAATTTTTAGGGGATTTACTACACTTACTGTGATCATTCTCTTGRTCAGTTCAAGCCTGGCTGGGAAATTACTGCTGTCATGACAATCAAAATATCTGTATTGTGATAATTTGAAGAATTTCCTACTTTAGCAATTAGTCAAACCTTAAATATTTAAATATTAATAATTCAGATACAGTTAATATGTGGCAATCCTTATTGTAGAGTGTGAGGCCACATTGATGTGAAGATTGTCTGTAATATACAATGATTTGCAGTAATTCTGGCTCAGGAGAATATCTATACAAAATATAATGTTTTGTTTCTATTTCTYATTTCAATTTTGCAGTTGGCGATTCTCATTCTATCTGACAACCTCCATTGTTGGATTTATAGTTTTATATGATGTAAGTTAACCTTTTGAAAGATTGATACTCTGTTTTTAACAAAATAATTTCTAGATTTTCTTGAATTCAATTGAGAGACTTAGTGTTTTCAATGGCTCTGTGGGTTCAGATCTTTAGCATATGTAATCTAGATGTGATGGGCTGCAATATGCACTGAGATTTAATTTTTAAGTTAACTTTTGACCTTCTRTGATAAAGGAATTTCTGAGTAATGAGTATTTTTAAGGCAAGCTTGAAGAAGTCACGCAGATGGTTTTACAACATGCCTTGTTAACACCTAAAAATGCATCACATGGCCATGTTTTCCTCAGAGGAGGCCATAAACCTTTTTTTGGCAGCATTTTTGGGGGCCACAGCTATTTATTGAGGTGTTGCTGCTGAGTCAGAAGTTGGGAGTAACAGAAAGAGTGGCTCTTGTAACTCGGTGAGCCCTGCCTGGGGTGTCATTAACGCTTCCCCTGAGCAGCGGAACAGATCCCGGCGTGTCTCTGCTCATCTGGCTCTTCTCCCCAAACACTGTTTATCATCCTCAGCCACTGATGTGTGTGACTGGTAAACACAGCAAATTTAATCACTGTGGCAACATAGCTTGAGTAATTGCAGTAATAAAACACACACCCACTGCTTTGGATGATGAAATTATGAACTGGAACGTTTCAGGTGTCCTGAAAAAAAGCCAAAAGTCTGGGAACAATGTAATAAATCTGAGATGTAACTTCCCTTTAGAAACTGGTGGAGCACAGTTATCAAGATTGCAGCTTCTTAGTCTGCTCCACTTAGAGAGGTTTTAAGTAGTGAAGATTTTGAGTTGATTCTTGTTGCTGAGCTGAGCAGTGTCTGATGTGTCTTCCCAGAAACCCTGGTTTTACGACATCTGGCAGACGTGGGTTGGTTATCCATTTCAGGTGAGCTTTTGACATCGGGCCAGTGGCCTCCAGGCAYTCCAGATATTTCCCCATTGGAAGGGGTAATCCACAGGAGCCTTTTCCCTTCACGTGGGTACCACCTAAAGAGGTGCAGCACCAGAGCCTTTTTTTTGGGAAGTCCTGCTGAGTGTTGCAGCTCCCTCTCCAGCCAGATCAGTGCTGTTTCCACCCACCCCGGGATATTARTTACTCACTGGAGATGTTATCAGAGCTCCCAGTTTCAGTGCAGAATCCCTGCACTGCTCCAGGCCCCGTGGTGCTTCAAGGCACTCTTATTTTAATAACTCTGCCCCATCCCACTGCCTTCTCACTTCTGTTCTAGGCAGGGGCCAGGAATAAAAATAATCCTGCCTCCCAGCTGGGTTTTCCCAGCTCCTGGTACACACCTGCCACCTGGGGAATGTATTGACCCAAGGGAGCAGCCAAGCTCTGCTTTCTCCATGGCAGATTCATAGGATTTTAGCATGAATAACTGWCATTTCAGTCATAGGATGTATGAGTGTTTATTATATTAATCGTTCACCAAAAAGGAGGGAGTTTATTTGCAGTTGTTTGTAATTAAATGCAGAAGGACTTTGCATGTAGTTCTCTGACAAAAACATGGAGAAAAAGCATGTTAAAATTCAGAGGTGGGGGAGGAACTGTGGGAATTGAGAGTTTGGGCTGAGCAAAGGTTAAAATACTTGGCTCCCAGAACATCCTCCCTAATGAAGCCCAGGACGAGAATTTAATTTAGCTTAATTTTTTAAACAAGACTCAGCAGAGAAGCAGAAGTCAGGAAAGGAAAAAAGAAGTAATGTCCCTTGGCACTTCATTTTTGCTRTTCTCAGAGTTAACTGTGTTTTTCTTCATCACAGACCCTGCTGCCATCCCAGTACTGGTACTACATGGCCGAGATCGGGTTTTACTGGTCTCTCTTATTTACCCTTGGGATTGACATCAGAAGGAAGGCAAGTGCCTGTGCTTGTTTGTAGCCTGAACCTCTGTTCTGGTGAGCGGGGAAAGGAAAACAGCGCTGGATCCGCGATTCGGTGCAGCCATGCGAGGGCAGCATCGCTCTGCGCTGGCATCCCGCACACATCCATGGATTAATCCCCGCACACATCCATGGAT